TATACTAATATTGCTGTAGGTTTCTAAGAAATCTTAATGAAAACATAATATATGCCCTGGACAAGAGCTACAGTCCTGCTTTCTGTTCTGAAATCAAGTTTCTGATGGAAATACTGGCCATCTCAAGGGCCTTCCCTGTGTATCCCCCTGGGCTTAAACAGCGCACCGCCATCGAGGGGCCGCCTTCTAGGTGGCTCAAGATAATGGAACCAGGCAGGTGGCAGCCCAGTGGCCCATGAGTGAGGCTGATGTCACTGTGTGTGAGAGTTCAGAATCCAAACAAAGGCAAGTCACACGCTTCCTGCTCCCCGGCCGGGGACCTCTTCTTCTGTCCGTGTAGACAGACGTAAAGCCCTCCAGTTCCTCACCTGGTTTTCAGGCTAGACAAAGCACTGAACTGACCTGGAGGCTGTGCTGGGACGTCAACCCACAGTGAGGGTGGCAGGGCCGCCATCTGGCCTGGAAGCAGCTTCCAGGCCCCCTGCTCTGTCCTGCCCCTGCGAGAGTGAATGGAGAACAGCTGCCATGTCTCTGAGTGGGACCTGGGCCGGAGAACTTGGAGAATAGCCAAACAGAACTTGAGGGATGGGTGGCGGTGTGAGGAATGGAGGTTCACACGGCAGGGCCGCTGTCTTACTGGAAGTGACACACACAGTCACGGAGGCAGGGGCTCCCCAGCCTCTGCTGGACCTCTTCCCACGGGTTCGCCCTGCGACTGCCAAACCTCCCTTTTCCTCTTATAAGGACAGCAGTCATTGGAATCCCAGACCACCCTAAACCCAGGCTGACCCCTAATCTTTCTAACCTGCGTGAATCGGACTTGCTGCCTGCCCACTGGCTCCGGGGGTTCTTCTCATGTGTCACTTTGTTGTTGAATCTTGAACGCATACCTGTGTCTTCTCAGCACCACCATCATGGATTGCTCTGTCATTTTAGTTTAAAACCAGCCACACCATGGGTTGACCCCGAAAAGACCCAAAATAAATAATCTATTCTCCAAGCAAGAGGCCTTTTCTCCTAAGTGCCTAGCATAATAAATACAGAATGGGGAGAATGGGGCATTAATGTAAAACTTTAATATAAACGAACTTAAAGTGATCTTTTGCAGTCTTCCTTTAAAAGATCTGGCTATAGGACGTAAAAATAAATGCCACCCCAGAGAAGGANGGAGGGCTCCAGCCAGCATGGTGAGAACGTGGGCAGGGATAAGTGTCTGATGTCTGCCTGGACCTGAGGGGAAGTGAGCCAGTGGGTCTAGGGCTTCTGTCCCTTCTGATACAAAGCCATTCATATGAAAGAGGGAATAAGATTGGGTGCCTGTGAGAAAGTTGTATGAAAGTGCCTTATTCATAGGTAGCAGTGGCTTGTAGAAATTGTTCCTTTTTCATTTTTATACCTCACATGATTATTAATTTCTAGCAAACTATCTTTTTGTGAGAATAATGACTAAAACTGAAGCTATCATATGGAAGGACCTACAATTAAGTTCGCGAACTTTCCACTGTGTAAGCACATGGTGGAAAATTCATGAACTTAATTGTCTGACCTTCGTATATCAAATTATTCTTATTGATCCCAGAAGTATAAAGAAAATATTATTAAGACATTGCTATTCCTCCCTCCTATATTTGTTAGAGCTTGGTATAAAGTAAGAAATCTATATTAATTTGGAGAGACTTTTTTTTTTGAACTCTCAAAATGGGATTGTTTTGTTCTGTTTTGATGTAATTTGGGTTTGAAGATATATTTGAAACACGCATGTGTTTGGCTGGAGTGGAATATAAACAGGTACTAGAGGTTCTGAAGTTGCTGACACAAATTCTAAGTCTTGTGTGTCTGTCATTTTGTATTTTGTCTGTTTTTTTGTTTGTTTGTTTTTTAATAGACCAGGCATTTGGAAAGACCTAAAGACCATGGGCTCAGTATCTCTCTTTATATTCTTCATCACACTGCTTGTTCTGGGCAGACAGGTAAGAAGTTTGTTTTTTTACCTAACTTCTCTACAGTGCTATGTTAATATTAATCATGCTTTGCTGATGTGCATTGTAGTTACTTTCATGCAAACAAACATTGAAGCATTAGAATCACCTTATGTGGGGGACAGTGGGTGGTAGCACCCGGTGTTGGGCTTAGATAGAGACAAAAGAATAAAGTTCTTTTATTTTTTCCACAAGTGGCAGACTTTGTGAATATTAGAGATGCAAATCACTTTTCTTGTTAGAGCTCAAAATACATTTTGTACGTCTCATAAGCCTAAAAACAAGTGTTTCCTCATAGCTGACACCCCTTGACGGGTTTCATTTGCTTTGCAGAATGGATGGCATGCCTCTTTTTCTTTGAAGGGGGTATGAACACCTTTGCTGTCACTTGCAATCGTTTCTAGAAATATAGTCCTCTGTTCAAACATTTTATTTTGTGATGCGAATGAAAGTGTTCCCCCTTGGGCCTCCCACCCCCTGTTGGTCTCCCAGTAGAGGCTGTGAGTGCAGGGTTTTTACGGGCAATATTCTTGCTCTGCCCGCCCACAAAGACAATCGCCCAAAGAACAGATTCATTTCATGCCAGGCAACTCTGCCTGCCTCGGCCCAAGTTGGCTTTCAGTGCTTCAATGGAGAGCGTGAGTCCAAGAAGTGATTTACTTGGAAATAACCAGCTAAGATGTGAAGCCAATTAAATTATATACACATCGCTGAACTGTTCGATAGTAGGAAGCTGTTGATTGCCAGGGCAGAGTCCAGATCTGTGAGTGACAGCCCAGCAGCCTGGGGACACTGGTCTTCTATCTGCCTGAGCGGTGCAAGTGGCAGCCTTCTCCAGATGTCAGGGGACAGCCCTCGCCACTGTCCCTGGAGCTTAGGAGACCCCGTCTCCTGCCACCCTCCCCTGCCTCTGTCCCTGGCACCTGCTTGGTTCTGCTTTCCTTGCCTTGCACTTCTGACAACCTGTACGTTTCAATTAACCATTATACCATGTCCTGTTGTTTTTGTTTGTTTGTTTGTTTTTTACTGGTTGCATTTGTTTCTCCTGCTACCTGGTTCTCTCCATATTGACCAGCTGTCTGTTCTCACTCATAGAGAAAAGACATGTCCTCCCCCAGGAAATGCTGCAGTTTAGATGTAAAAGAACTGGGCTTCCTTGCAGAATATCACCTAGACAATCATATCTCAGGAAACAACATGGCCAGCCCCTCTGTGGAGTCGCCTATTTCTCGGTTTCNTGGTCACATTTTGGTTGGAACTGTCACTGAGTTCCAAGTCATAGAGTTAGAAACTTCCTCAGTTCCATTAGCCCTGTCTTCCTCACTGTATCACTCACTGATAGGACAACCCTCTTAGGTGAAAGTCCAGAGTGGATTTCATCCCTAAAACTTAAAGGGGAGAGAGAGAGAGAGAGAGAGAGAGAGAGAGAGAGAGAGAGAAAGGCCTTCCACCCAGCTAGCTGTTGTTTTTATATAAATGGCTAGCCATTTATATAAATGGTTATGGATTGGACTGTGTCCCCAAAAGGAGAGGTGTTGAAGACCTGAAGCCCTGTACCTCAGAACATGACTTTATTTGGAAACAGGGTCATTGCAGATGTACTTAGCTTAGATGAGGCCACACTGGAGTAGGGTGTGCCCTAATCCAACAAGGCTGGTGTCCGTACGAGAAGATGGCCACAGGAAGACAGAGATACACGGGGAGAATGTCATGTGATGATGAAGGCAGACATTGGAGTGATGCAGGAATGAGCCAAGGGGCGACAAAGGTGGGTGGCCAACCACGGAAGCTAGGACGAGGCCAGCAAGGACTTCCGTGCAAGTTTCAGAAGAAGCATCACCCTGCCCTGCCGACACCTGGATCTCAGACTTCTGGCCTCGAGGACTGTGAGACAATACATTTCTGTTGCTTTAAGCCACCCAGTGTGTGGTGCATTGTTTTGGCAGCCCTGGGAAACTAATAATAAAATGATCAACACAGTTGACCAGACTCTGCCAGGAAGACCTCCCGAAATTTGATTCTGTCGCTTCTGGATGCTCCGTCCACACAACAAGTTCCTTTTCCTCCCTCCTCTCCCACAAACACACAAAGAACAAGGTAACCTGGAACAAATCTGTGGATGGAGAAATTCATCATTCAACTCCGGGAGTCCTGGCAGCGTCCGTCCGTGAGAGGCCTGCATGGGAAACAAGGGCTCTGGAAGAGCTGACAGTTCTTTTTGGCTGGTTGAACAAAAGAAGTTTTAAAGACATCTAAATGAAACAAAACAAGAAACTGAGATGCAGTCCTTCCTAGTACAGAGACTTTCAGGAGTGAAAGCGGCGCCCGCGTGTTGGTACACACATCTGTCCTACAAGCTGTGCTGTGCCTTCTTATGACCGAGGTCCGTTTAAGGCTGTCCTTTCAAATCCACTACCCAGTCCGGCAATGAGATAAGCAAGGGTGTCTTGCTTATCCCTAGTCCCCACCACCAGCCACCAGGACGATTCAAGATCTGGGAGGTGAGTAGAGCAGGACACCTCCACCCTTGAATCAATGTTTAAATGCATTAATAGGAGGCGTGCCAAAAAGGATTTTTCCCAGGCGGTTGCTCAACATGTATTTTCTGTGAGATTAACTGCAAATCAGGTGGAACCTCAGGGAACTCTCTAGAAAGGCTGTGCTTGCNGGGGGCTTTCCTATGCATTATAGGATAGTTAGCAGCTTCCCTGGCCTCTGCCACTTAGTGCCAGGCACGACTACCCAAGTCACGACAACCAAAAATGCCTCCAGACATTGCCCCAATGTGCCCTGTAAGGCAAAATGGCCCCCATGTCCAGAACTGACTCGACATACACGAAAACACCGGAGAAATAAGTGGATATATTTCTGAGTTATAGTGCTAAATTTCTTATGGGAGAGTTCCTAAAACACCCTCGTATGGAGGGAGTGCTTCTATCCACTGTGCCAATTCTGTTCTACGAACAAGTTGACTTCCAAGAAAAGATATGATTGTGTTTGTTACTCTCCCAACCTTAGGACTACATGCTGATGGAACGATCCTCTCAGGGCCACTCACTCGGGTTTCTACAAGGTTTCCTGTGATCCAATGGCTTCCATAAGGTTATAGTGAATATTTATTCCCTGCTTGAAAAACGTTTTAATCATCGTGATATTTTCCATCTCACATTTTAAGAGCAAAACAATGTTTTGTCTCAAGCGTTGGGTTTATTTCTGGACCCACCAGCCTTCTATGTTCCCTCTGTGAGTGCTTTTAGTAAGCCTCCATAATATTTCTACTTTGCTTTTAATATACAATAAGCCCTTAAATATTTGCGAGGATGCGTCGCTCCAGAAAGATGGTTTGAGTTGAGAACACATGACCACAGATTTCTCCTTTGCAGCCCAGTGTCAAGTGCAGTGGGCGCTTCAGCGTGTGAACGTTTCTCACCAATATGAACACTTTCAGAAACACAACTGCAGTGCCTTCTCTTCATCTCATTTAATTTTCATCACCCTCCACACCACAGAGTCCTAATAATCTGTAATCATGCTTAGGGTTGTAGGGTTGCAAAATTGCATAATTGTATTAAGGACATTTTATGATTCCTTAGCCAAGATGAGAGTAAAACCAGAATTTAATTTTCCAATGAATTCTCAAACTCGCCAACCAAACACGCTTTCATATTTCTGTACTGTCTCCAGACAGCCTGTATCGAATCCCTAACTAAATGTAGCATTACCGAGTTTTACGCGCAGCTGATGATGATATTAAACTTCCCTTTATTAAATTTAAAGCTCCTAAATGTGCTACACAGCTGTAGCCAAAGAGTAAATGAGATTAGCAAGTTCCTGATGGGGGAGATTTACTTTTGGGGATCTGAGCNTGTGGTTTTGTACTGTCACTGGTATAATTAACCAAACCATAAATGAAAGAAACCCCTGCATTTAGTTCCCCTTTGATTTTATTTGTCAATAAATCTCTATCTGTGCTGAAATGCTCTCTCTCTCGGAGGCCCTTATGTTATAGGGGGAGTCATTCAAGCTATTTCATTGTATTAAATTATTTACATCACAGCTGGCACAAAGTGACACCAAAGCCAAAGAAAGCCTATAACAGTAAATAGCCTCTCTATTTCTACAATGTTACTAATAACTGGTTTTTAAAAACATTACATTTTAATGCCTTATAAAGCATAAACACATACGCTTTTATTACCAGGCACCATCATAATTAAATGACATCAAAATGAACTTTTGTCTAAATATATGTAATGTAATGTAATTCTCTCAGTACAGTGAATTACCAAATGAAAAAATGCATCTTTTTCAATGAATGCTTAATCATATAATTTGTGGTAGGGGAAAACTGATTTTTAAATATTAAAAGCAAACTGCCATAAATGAACACTATTATTTTTTTAAATGCACATCATCCAACAATGCACTCTCTCCATTAATGTGCTTTTCCATTATTTATATTCTATCATCCCTCTTTTCAAACACTAATTCCAACCACGTTTGATTAACATAGCTATGCAAGAAGCTTCCGTGTCTTCTTTCCTTACAAGCCTCCAGTATAACTGTTTGCTCTATTCCTGAGGCTGGTTCTTTCCTGAACCGGTTTTTTGCAAATCCGCGTTGGAGGTTGAATGAGAGGCATTTGGGGGGAACAGAGGGCTTTGTAGGGAAGGTGGCAGTTCTGTTTGGGGGTTCCTTTTTCGGTTTTGTTTCGGTCTTTTTGTTTTCTCTTTGAAACCTCTGCTCTCTGGCAGGACGAGATGCCTATTGTCTCTTTACCTCTGTGTCCTCTTGTAACAGAATGAATATTACTGTAGGTTAGACTTCTTATGGAAGAACAAGTTCAAAAAAGAGCGGGAGGAGATAGAGACCATGGAGAACCTGAACCGAGTGCTGCTGGAGAATGTGCTTCCCGCCCACGTGGCCGAGCATTTCCTGGCCAGGAGCCTGAAGAATGAGGTGAGATGAGGCGGGGCTGGTGGCCAGGACGGGGCAGTGGGCTGACTAAGCGCTGTGGGCTGACTAAGCGCTGGAAGCTCCAGGCAGTGGCCTAGATGCCTGTGGCCCTCCAGAAACCTACGTGTTCAGGTCCAGTATTGGCCTGAATTTGTCCATTTTCGAGAGAACGTTGATTGGTTGTATGAGTGTCAGTTGAGAATAGCGAGCTAGAATCACCTCTGAACGTCTTAGCATGGAGTTGACTCATTATTTCTCATTTTTCTTCCCCAATCATGTAAAGTTCTGAAGGTTCAATACAAGACACTCGGTTCCAAAAATATCACAAAAGTGGCCACCACCTTCTCCCTGGTGTCGGGAGGGCGCCTTCCTTCCCAGCATGAGCTAGAGGCCCGAATCCAGAGGCAAAATGAACTCA